ACAGTCCTATGAGCTGTTCTCTACTGGTTTTTGTGCCTGTTGTCACTTGCAGCTTCAGTCAACGGAGACTTTAAAACATTATGTTTCTTAATTACAGTCATTGGTTGTCAAGTCTCCAAGATAATAAGTTAAATTTCTCTGCCTCTCAGGTTACAGTTGGCCTCTTTTTCTTCCTAATAAAAACATGGAATCTGGCAATCAATCACTTAAGATACAAAATATCAATTCAAACCAAGCAAAAGCATTAAAGTTCTGAAGTCAAGGATCTATTTGAAAACATATCAAATTAGGTCAGGTTAATACCTGCAGAATATATCTGCCAAGGTGAAGCTTATGTCATGATTTCTCTCTACTTCTAGTTCTGGCACTTGATCATTAAGTAACCTGGGATAAATTAATTTTGTAAGGCTGAACAGAGACTAATGGATCTTATTTCAAAATGATCTTTTTCTTTTTTAACCCTTAACATCTATGCTAAACATTTAAGAAATTTGGTTATTTTTGTGTTTTCTTCAGAGTAGGTCACAAATATTATATTTTGCATTTATTGCAGCATTTATTTTCCTCCAAAATAATTTATACATGCACTTTGAACAATTTGCAATTATTTCAAGGCAGGTGACAATAACTTTGTTTTATTGTGAAGTAAAACACACACAGTAGGCCGAGCACGGTGGCTCATGCCTGTAATCCCAGCACTGAGGGAGGCCGAGGCAAATGGATCACCTGAGGTCGGGAGTTCGGGATCAGCCTGACCAACATGGAGAAACCCTGTCTCTACTGAAAATACAAACTTAGCCGGGCGGGTGGTGCATGCCTCTAATCTCAGCTACTCGGGAGGCTGAAGCAGGGGAATCTCTTCAACATGGGAGGCGGAGGTTGCGGTGAGCCGACATCGTGCCACTGCACTCCAGCCTGGACAACAAGAGTGAAACTCTGTCTCAAAAAAAATACATAAATAAACATACACAGTAGAAAATATATGTGTATTATAAAGAACAAAAATAGGCCGGGCCTGGTCACGCCTGTAATCCCAGCACTTTGGGAGGCTGAGGCAGGTGGATCATCTAAGGTCAGGAGTTCGAGACCAGCCTTGCCAACATGGTATAAACCTCATCTCTACTAAAAATACAAAAATTAGCTGGGCATGGTGGCAGGCACCTGTAATCCCAGCTACTCAGTATGTTGAGAGAGGACGATTGCTTGAACCTGGGAGGCGGATGTTGCAGTGAGCTGAGACTGGGTCATTGCACTCCAGCGTGGGCGGTGAGAACAAAACTCCATCTTAAAAACAACAACAACAAAATTAATATTTGTAACCCAGGTCAAAAAATATTTTTTGAAACATTTGTTCAATGTCCCTTTAGAGAGGTTGAGTGCTGCATGGAGAAAGGGCAAAGGTGGGCCATGAGTTGCAAGACCCCTTTTGTAAATCCCACTCAGCAAGACATATGCTAAAGCAACCTGATCTTCTTGGAGGATTTTTTTTTTTTTTTTTTTTTTTTTTTTTTTTTTTTTTTTTTTTTTTTTTTTGAGACGGAGTCTCGCTCTGCCGCCCAGGCTGGAGTGCAGTGGCCGGATCTCAGCTCACTGCAAGCTCCGCCTCCCAGGTTCACGCCATTCTCCTGCCTCAGCCTCCCAAGTAGCTGGGACTACAGGCGCCCGCCACCTCGTCCGGCTAGTTTTTTGTATTTTTTAGTAGAGACGGGGTTTCACTGTGTTAGCCAGGATGGTCTCGATCTCCTGACCTCGTGATCCGCCCGTCTCGGCCTCCCAAAGTGCTGGGATTACAGGCTTGAGCCACCACGCCCGGCTGGAGGATATTTTTTGAGTAAAATCCTTGTGAGGGGGCCGGGCGCGGTGGCTCAAGCCTGTAATCCCAGCACTTTGGGAGGCCGAGACGGGCGGATCACGAGGTCAGGAGATCGAGACCATCCTGGTGAACACGGTGAAACCCAGTCTCTTCTAAAAAAGTACAAAAAAACTACCCGGGCCAAGTGGCAGGCGCCTGTAGTCCCAGCTACTCGGGAGGCTGAGGCAGGAGAATGGCATAAACCCGGGAGGCGGAGCTTGCAGTGAGCTAAGATTCGGCCACTGCACTCCCGCCTGGGCGACAGAGCGAGACTCCGTCTCAAAAAAAAAAAAAAAAAATTCCTTGTGAGGAGGTCATGTGTACTACCACACCCAGAACTTTCCCTTGAACGAGACTTGTTAAATACAATATTCTCCATCTTGCTAGATTTCCAGTGATGTTTTAACAGCTCTCATACCCTAGGTTGCTCTTCAATCTACCTTCCTTCTCTTGGAGAAGGCTGTCCACATACACAAAGTCTCTCCTAGCCGAGTGTGGTGGCTCACACCTGTAATCCCAGTGCTTTGGGAAGCCCAGGAGGGAGGATCATTTGAGGCCAGGAGTTCAAGACCAGCCTGGGCAATGTGGTGAGACACCCATCTCTACAACAAATTAAAAAATTTGCTGGGCATGGTGGCCAGAGCCTTAGTCCTAGCTACTCAGGAGGCTGACAGGGGAGGATCCCTTGAGCCCAGGGATTCAAGGTTACAGTGAGCTATGATTGTGCCACCATACTCAAGCCTGGGCAACAGAGTGAGACCCTGTCTCCAAAACAAACAAAAAAGTCTCTCCTATTAGATCAGGGAATTTCTCAGCATCATGAGGCATCATGTCTTCCCCACAACATACTATAATTACTAAGAATGGGAACTTTTTTTATTTGATAAGGTCTCACTCTGTTGTCCAGGCTGGAGTGCAGTGGTGTGATCACAACTCACTGCAGCCTTGACTTCCTGGGCTCAAGGAATCCTCCTACCTCAGCTTCCTGGGCAGCTGGGACAACATGCACAAGCCACCTCAGCTAGCTAATTTATTTTTATTTTTTGTAGAGACAGGGTCTCCCTGTGTTGCCCAGGGTAATCTCAAACCCCTGGGCTCAAGTGATCCACCTCAGCCTCTCAAAGTTTTGGGATTACAGACATGAGCCACCGAACCTGGCCAACAATGGGGACTTCATTTTCCATCCAAAAAACTTGTATTGGCTTTGCAGCAGCAAGAGGCCCTATAATGAAGGCCTTTCCTGAACTGAGTGACTTTTGGTGAGTGAAACCAGTCTTTGTGGAATAGGATGCAAGGCTTGCATCCCATACCTCATGATGAAGTTCTCCATTTACCAGGGTCATATCATCCCGTTCCCACTCTGTATGGGAAGGAAGGGGAATTGTGGAAGAATTAGTCACTTGTTCTTTTCTTTTCCTAAACCACTTTGTACTTTTCTGCTTCAACACTATGTTATTATAGTCATTTAATAACTTAAATTTGCTTGTAGAGATGGGGGATCTTGTTATGTTGCCCAGGCTGGTCTCAAACTCCTGGGCTCAAGCAGTCCTCCCACCCTGGCCTCTCAAAATGTTGGGATTACAGGCATGAGCCGCTGCAACTGGCCTATTTAATAACTTTATCCTCTTTTGTAACTGGATACTCTCCTTGGGGTAATGATATTGTTTTATTCTTCTTTGTAAATGACTGAATACCTAGAACAATACCCACTATCAAGTAAGTGCCAGTTTAGTGAATGAAAAGAAAGCAGACATTTGGATAATTTGCTTCTATTTGAACTTTTGAATGAAGACGCAATAGTAAGGAACATACAGTCCAGTGCCCTACCTAGCTGGATTACTTAAGTCTTCTGCTTATCCAGATCAGTAAATTATATGGTTGGAGTAGATGAGACACTATTAACCAGAGGTCATTGGACTCCAGGGGATTTTTGAGCCCTTACCTCAAGCAAAGTTAAAAACCACAAGGATCAGATGGCTTGGCAAACCTCTACTATACTACTCAGTCACTAGAGTAGGATACCCTGTCATTGCAATAACATACGTGGAAACCAAAATGACATGTGCCTGTGGTGTCTAGCTACACACTAACACACACTCTCCAGCTTGTTGGTGCCTTTTCAGAGCCCCTTTGCTTGGCCCCAAAAGGTAAGATGGGAACAGATTCTAGTAAATCTTTTTTTTTTTTTTTTTTTTTGAGATGGAGGGTGGAGTGCAATGGCGCAATCCTGGCTCACTGCAACCTCCGCCTCCTGAGTTCAGGTGATTCTCCTGCCTCAGCCTCCCGACTAGCTGAGATTACAGGCGTGTGCCACCACATCCGGCAAATTTTTGTATTTTTAGTAGAGACGGGTTTCACTATGTTAGCCAGGCTGGTCTCGAACTCCTGACCTCAAGTGATCCGCCCGCCTCGGCCTCCCAAAGTGCTGGGATTACAGACTTGAGCCACCTCGCCCAGCCCCAGATTCTAATGAATCTTTTCAATGCTGATTGTCTAAATCCCTCTGGCCCCTCTTAATAGACCCTGACCAGTCGACAGTGAGGTGAGTGCTTCATGCACGCAGAATGGTGCACAAATACTAGTTAGTTCCAGCACCAGGGAGGTTGGGAGTCTGGCGTCGAAGACAGAGTATTTAACAGAAAAGAGTCCAAGGGCGGCGAGACAGACCAACGTTGCGTAGAGGGGCTATGCTGACAGCTGAGTAGATTAGAAACCCGACTGACGAGGAACTGACTTGGGGAGCGTGCCAGGCGAACATCGCCAGGGCAGAGAACCCCCATCAGCTCCCGAGGTCATTCTTCCCGCGCCCCCACCGGCCTCCGCGCACTCTCCGGAGGCAGAGCGACCGCTCTGCCCGGAGGCTCCAGCGTTTCCCGCCGTTGGAGACTCTGAAATTGCCTTTTGGAACAAAACTTGGGTCGGAAAGGAGGCGAAGGGAAAGCGGTGTGAAGTCCTCGGTGCGGAAGAGTGAGCAGTGCCGTAGGGGGTAGCCCGAGGGGAAGCTTCCCGACCCGGACATTGAGCCGAAGCCGAGCGCTCGACTCCCCTCGCTGCGCCTGCGTTCGGCCACCTCCGGGAGAGTTTCGGCTCTTTCCGTCAGTTCAGCTCGGGCCCTCTATTCCCGGCGCTCGTCGGGCCCCTACCCGTTGCCGCCGGGTACGAGCTGTTCTGCACGCGGACGCGAGCTCGAGTCCCACCCGTTTTCCCCTTGCATCTAGTTTGTCCCCGACCCCCTCCCAGAGTCTCTTCCCTTCCGCGGTAATTCCCAGTCTCCGGTGGCGCGCGAGCCTGCGGACGGTGCGAGACGCGAGGGACCGGGTCCCGAGAAGAGCGGTAACCCTACCGGTCGGAGCCCGCCTCTCGTCGCCCGGCGCCTCTCCTCGATCCCCTCGGTCTCCGGTGCGAGGGCCGTCTCGCCGCTCCAGCCGCGCTCGCGCACCCGTTGGCTGCCACAGCCTCGAGCTTGGCGCGCCGGGTTCGCGCCGGCGCGAGTACGCGCCCTGAGCTCTGGCTGGCTGGCTGGCGCGCACGCGCCCGAGAGGGCTCCGGGGCGGGGCGAGCCGCTGCCCCGGCTAGGATCGGGGTGATCTGCTGGAGCTCCGGCCGCAGCCTTGATTCCCGGCCTGCAGAACGGCCCTGGAGAGAAGCGGGGAGGCGGCGGTGGGGGCGGGGCGGCGTCCGGCTCTGAGAGAACTGGGGGAGGAGCGCGGCGGCGACGGCGGCGGCGGCGGCGGCGGCTCTAGAGGGAGAGGTGAAGGAGGCGGAGGATCTCTTTTCCTGTTCTCAGACCCGGGAGCGTCTGGGACGCGGAGCCCGGAGCTGGGGCGACAAGGCGATTGTGTGGGCCCCGGCTAGGTGAGACTGGGGGTGCTGGGTGGCGGGGTTGGCGGGGGCTCAGAGGGGCACCGAGGTGCGGGGAGCGGGTTGAAGGAGGAAAAGGGGGGAGGGGGTAGTTGTTGGGGCCGGGGGACGGGAAGGAGGGGAATGTGAGCCTTAGAGATTCGAAGTGCCCAGAAGGTGGAAGGTTCCTGGGGTATGTGGGGGCGGGCGAGACACCCGTGTCTGAGTTGGGGAGTTTCCAGAGGGATAGGCCGGGGAAACAATGGAGTGGGGGGGGGAGACTCTGGCGTGAGCGTGTGTGGGGTATTGGATTTTAAGAAACAACGAGCGAGATAGAAAAGAATGAAAGAATAGGATCATTTGGGATGAGAAGTACAATGAATTGGGAATGCATTGGGGATGCGTAAGGTCACCTCCGTGGGTGTCCGAGGTCCTTAGGATTCGGGGGCAATAATGAGATTTGAAAATAAGGGATAGAAGGGCGTTCTTGGAATTGAAGGGGGAGACGGAATGGAAAATAAGGCGGAGAGTCAGAGACATAAAATAGATGGGGTTAGGACTTGGATTAAAACAGAAAGGTAGATTCAGTCAGTTTTGGACTAGAGTGATATTTTTCTCATAATTCATCCAGAATGATTGGGTTCTTTTAGAAAGTGGATCTTTCTCAAGCTTGTCCTCTGCTAAGAAGTACAAACCATTCTTTAAATAATTTGATTATCACTTGTCCATTTTATTGATAAAACATGCCTGTGATAGTTACTTCCCCTCTGTTTAGCAGGCTACTACTGTACGTAATTTACCTATGGTTGATGAAGCAGGAGAGGACAGATCACCAAAAATATCTTGCTTTGAGTTAGGTCAGTGATAATGCAGAGTTCAGTGTTTTGCAGAGAACCAAAAGCTTGCTTGTTTTCAGTTTGACCAAAAGGTGATGGATAAAATTAAGTTATCTGTACTTTGTTAGAATTGCAATTTCTCCCTGAGAAATGTTCATGTACCATCTGCTACTGGTTTTATGTTTGTGGGAGAGAGTTGGGGTTCTGCCTTAAATTATTTCTTGATGTTAACTTCAGATAATCAGGCTGCCTCATACCTTCCAGTTTCAATTAAGGTGATTTGGGAATATTGTGGAAAAGTATCTCTGGGATTATGATCTTTGCATTTCCTTAATACTTGGATTTCCAGACCAAATTTGTGATGGTACTAGATAGAAAATTGCTGATTTTGAAATTGTAATGACTGTTGTGTGCTCATAAATAGTCCATGTTAAGCCTTTTATTTGTTGGGCATTACATTTTGCTGACTCATCTAAGATTTTTGGACATTCATCAGTTTATATTTCTCAGCTAGGTCTTGGATGGTAGCATTTAGGTTACTTTATAAAGGTCCAAAATATGATTTAAATTGTCACTTTTCTTAGATGTTATGAAAATTGAACAAAGCAAGAAGTGAGTGCAGTGTTCTCATTAGTGACAATGTGCCTCTTTTTTTTTTTTTTTGAGATGGAGTCTTGCTCTGTTGCCCAGGCTAGAGTGCAGTGGCATGATCTTGGCTCACTGCAACCTCTTTCTCCTGGGTTCAAGCGACCCCAGCCTCCTGAGTAGCTGGGATTACAGGTGCCCACCCCCGCACCTGGCTAATTTTTGTATTCTTAGTAGAGACAGGGTTTCACCATCTTGGCCAGGCTGGTCTCGAACTTCTGACCTTGTGATCCATCTGCCTTGGCCTCCCAAAGTGTTGGGATTACAGGCGTGAGCCGCTGCGCCCGGCCTCTTTTTTAACTGACCTCTTTCAGTGGGCTAGTCAAGGTGCTAAGATTTTTTTGTATGTATTATCTCATTTAATCCTCACAATTATTTCATATTTTGTAAATTAAGAGGTTAAATAATTTACTGAGGTCACAGAGCTAGTAAATAACAAAGCTTGATTCAGACCTAGGTGTATCGGATGCCTTTTTTAAAATCTTCACTGCCTGCTTGCTCTTTCTGCTTCACCCCCATCTTGGTTATAGTAAAGCAGCATGAACTGGTTGAAACTTGGGTCTGATAACTGTGATTTAGATGAAGATTGTTAGTAGGCTGTAGCCTACTCTGTAGAGTTCATTGAAAGTTTACTGCTCCTGTGATTTAACAAAGCTCTGAGATTCTGATAAATAGGGCTAAAAACATCTTTTTGCTAAGGATTTGTCTTGCGACCACACTTAGTTTTCTGTTTAGTCTTGTACTGCTGAGGTACTGTGCATACGTGGCACTCTTACTTGTAGAAGTCAAGACAGCCAGTTGTGGAGCCAAAACCAATTAACTCTGAAGAGCAATTGAAAACTGCTCAGTACTCAGGTGCCCTCCAAACACCTGTTGAGCCCACAATTGGTACTAGCATTACCTCTAAATATAGATATGATCCTCTTAGAAACCAGGAGTGAAACAGCTAGAACTGAGCGAAACAGCTGGGGGCTGAGGGAGGAGCCACAGGTTATAGCCAAAACATGAGCATAGCCCCTGGAGGCTAATCAGGCTAAGACAGGAGGGAATTTTCATTTGTTGAGCATTTATGTATTCAGGCACTGAACTCAGCGCACATTTTTACCTTATCAGTTAGTTGTAAGTATTACCCTCATTTTTCAGATGAGGCTCAGAAGGACTAAAAGTAACTTACACAAAGTCACTTTATAATGGCAGTGAAGAAAGTTTGTGTATACTATTCTAAAAATTGCTGCTTTCAGTTTTCCATTGTAGGGTCACCATATTAAAGCTGGGAACTAAAAGTCAGTCTTTCAGATCTACCTGGCTTCTATTATGTGTGTAACTGATTATTTCAGTCTTGCTGCTTTCATTGGAAACTGGAAGGAAAAGCTTGTATTTTTTGGATGTAATTGTTAGGAAGTACAGTCCATTCATTATATTACCAAATGACCTGTAGAATATAATTCAGCTTCCTCAGTTGCTTAGTGTATATCTGCAGCAACATGAAAATAGCATGTCCATCCCTTCTCTTCTGGGATCTTCACTTTTTTTTTTTTTTTTTTTTTGAGACGGAGTCTCGCTCTGTCGCCCAGGCTGGAGTGCATGCAGTGGCGCAATCTCGGCTCACTGCAAGCTCTGCCTCCCGGGTTCACGCCATTCTCCGGCCTCAGCCTCCCGAGTAGCTGGGACTACAGGCGCCCGCCGCGCGCCCGGCTAATTTTTTCTATTTTTTTTAGTAGAGACGGGGTTTCACCATGGTCTCGATCTCCTGACCTTGTGATCCGCCCGCCTCGGCCTCCCAAAGTGCTGGGATTACAGGCGTGAGCCACCGCGCCCGGCCGGGGGGATCTTCACTTTCAACAAAGTCATCTAGACTCTGGAGGATGACAGTGAAGCTTGCCTGTTACAGATTCTTCCACTTTTCTCAATATGTTTTTGCCACAAATGTTTGATGGTTGTTCTTGGTTATTTATTTATTTTTTAGGGACAGGATCTCGCTATGTTGCCCAGTTTTGCCTCAAACTCCTGGGCTTAAACGATCTTCCCGCCTCAGATTACTCCAAATACCAGGAGTAGCTGGTATTTGCTAGTTTGTTTACTCCCCCAATCCCCCTCCCACCTGCCCAGAAAGGATCTCACTCTGTCACCCAGGCTAGAGTGCAGTGGTACAATCATGGCTCACTGTTTGACCACGCCCAGCTAACTTTTGTATTTTTTTGTAGAGTCAGGGTTTCGCTGTGTTGCCCAGGCTGGTCCCCAACTCCTGGGCTCAAGCAAATCCACCCTCCTTGGCCTCCCAAAGTGTTGGGATTATAGCATGAGCCACCTCACCTCGCCTTTTTGTTTACTTAAAAAAAATTGTTGTGGTAAACTATACATAGCAGAACATTTATCATTTTAACCATTTTTAAGTGTATGGATCAGTAGCATTAAGTACATTCACATTGCTGTGCAACCATCACCACCATCCATCTTGGGAACTTTTTTATTTTCCCAGACTGAAGCTCTGCACCTATTAGGCAATAACTCCTTGTTTCTCTTTCTCTACCCAGCTGCTGGCCACCGATATTCTACTTTCTGTCTCTATGAATGTGACTACCCTGGGTACCTCATATGTAAGTGGAATCATACAATATTTACTTTTTTGTGTCTGGTGTGTACCACTTAGAATTCAGAATTCATCCATGTTGTAGCATATGTCAGAATCTCATTCCTTTTTAAGGCTGAATAATATTCCATCATATGTACACACCACATTTTGTTTATCCATTCATTCTCAATGGACATTTGGGTTGCTTCTACCTTTTGGCTGTTGTGAATAATGGTGCTGTGAATTTTGGTGTACGAATCCACTTGTTCGAGTCCCTCTGTATTGGTCCATTCTCACATTGCTGTAAAAAAATACCTGAGACTGGGTAATTTATAAAGGAAAGAGGTTGAATTGGCTTATGGTTCTGTGGGCTGTAAGGGAAACATAGCAGGTTCTGGGGAGGCCTCAGGAAACTTATGATCATGGCAGGAGGCAAAGGGAAAGCAGGCATGTCTAGGTGGCTGGAGCAGGAGGAAGAGAGAGAGGTGGGGGAAGTGCTACACATATTTAAACAACTAGATCTTGTGAAAACAACCCTAGGGGGCTGGCACTAACCCATTCATGAGAAACCATCCCAATGTTCCAGTCACCTCCCACTAGGCCCCACCTTCAACACTGGGGTTACAGTTTGACATGAGATTTGGTGGGGACACAGATCCAAACTATATCACCCTCCTTTCATTTTTTTTTTCTTCGATTTACACAGAAGTAGAATTGCTGGATCCTATGGTAATTCTATGTTTAGTATTTTGAGTAGGCTTGGTTACTTTTATTTTTTATTTTTATTTATTTTATTTTATTTTTCCTTATTTGCTTTATAACATGTTTGGGTAAATTTATTTCAAAAATATCATTTTCTGGAGATACTTTCTCAGGTCCGTATTTTGACTCCAAATCTGAATACCATCTGCTTGTTTCTTTCCTTACAACAATCCAGGGCTCTTTCTCTTGCTCTAGTAACGTAATCACATCTGGCTTAGAAATGGAACTTCCCAGTGAGATCAGGTGGCTGTAGTTCTCCAACATCACATTCCTGTACAAGGTCCTCTGATCAGGCTGCAGGCACTCCCACTCCTCCTGAGAGAAGTCAATGGCCACATCCCTGAATGTCACTGATCCATGGACCATGTTTCTAGAATTACAAAATTTGGTCAATCTTCCTCGGGCTTCTTCTCCTTGACTTAAGTGTGCAGCAATAACGCTCTCATCCTCCTGGTCCTTCTTTTGGATAATGGTACGACCAGCTATGTCGTCAACCCCCGGAGGCCGGAAGTGGAACCGTTGTATTTTTTATTTATTTTTTTGGAGACAGTCTTGTTCTGTCACCCAGGCTGGAGTGCAGTGGCACGATCTCAGTTCACTGCAGCCTCCACCTCCTGGGTTTAAGCGATTTTCCTGCCTCAGCCTCCAATTAGCTGAGACTACAGGCATGCACCACCACACCTGGCTAATTTTTGTAGTTTCAGTAGAGATGAAGTTTCGCCATTTTGACCAGGCTGATTTCGAACTTTCATTCTGATTACTTGTTACCTGAAATCTTAACATTTCAGCAAGACTAAGTAGAATTATATTCAATTTTTATATGATTACATTTTTCATTGGGCAGTGAAAATGAGAACACATCATCCTTTCACACTGTACTGGCTAATTATTTGCATTGTGAAATAGCCCCAAGTATATTATTAACCTTCTTGGCAGCTGAAGTTTCTGATGCCTGAAATGTGTATCTACTGAATGGTGTTAGTTACGATCAGGCCAGTATTGATAGCATAGTTATAATATTTCTATGTATAATATGATCAGGCCAATATTGATAGTATAGTTATTTCTATGTATATTTCCAATATTATTCTTTTAACTTATTAAAATAGGGAAGCTGTATGAGATGTTAGTTAAAAGCACAAGCCATTGAGTACACAAATCTGGATTTGAGTCTACTCCCCTACCTACTCCCTTGGTCAAGTCATTTAATTTCTCTGAGTTTATGTTTCTGTATCAGTAAAATGGATGCAGTAGTAATCTCTACTATAGGGTTGTCATGGTTATTGGATTTTGTTTATTTATTTTTTGAGACAGAGTCTTGCTCTTGACACCCAGGCTGGAGCGCAATGGCACGATCTCAGCTCACTGCCACCTCCAGCTCCAGGGTTCAAGCGATTCCCCTGCCTCAGCCTCCCGAGTAGCTGGGATTATAGGTGCTCGCCACCACGCCTGGCTAATTTTTGTATTTTTAGTAGAGATGGGGTTTCACCATGTTGGCCAGGCTGGTCTCAAACTCCTGACTTTGTGATCCACCCGCCTCGGCCTCCCTAAGTGCCGGGATATTTATTTTGAATTAATCTTTATTTTATTTTATTTTTGTTTATTCTTCTTTTGAGACGGAGTCTCACTCTGTCACCCAGGCTGGAGTGCAGTGGCTCGATCTCGCAACCTCCACCTCCCAGTTGCAAGCGATTCTCCTGCCTCAGCCTTCTGAGTAGCTGAGACTACAGGCACGTGCCTCCATGACCGGCTAATTTTTTGTATTTTTTAGTAGAGACGGGTTTCACCGTTTTAGCCAGTATGATCTCTATCTCCTGACCTCATGATCTGCCTGCCATTGCCTCCCAAAGTGCTGGGATTACAGGCGTGAGCCACCGCGCCTGGCCAGTTTTATTTTTTTTTGAGACAGGGTCTAGCCCTGTCACCTAGGCTAGAGTGCAGTGGCATGATCATGGCTTAATGCAGCCTCGACCTTCTGGGGTCAAGCAATCCTCTTGCCTCTGTCTCCCAAGTAGCTGGGACTACAAGTAGATGCCATCATGCCTGGCTAATTTTAAAATTTTTTGTAGAGACAGGATCTTGCTGTGTTGCACAGGCTGGTCTTGAACTCCTGGGCTCAGCTATCCTCCGGCTTCAGCCTCCCAAAGTGCTGGGATTACAGGCATGAGCCTCTCTGCCCATCAGATTTTATTTTATTTTATTTTATTTTTTTTGAGATGGAGTCTCCCTCTGTCAACCAGGCTGGCGTGCAGTGGCAGGATCTCGGCTCACTTCAACCTCCGCCTCCCGGGTTCAAGCGATTCTCCTGCCTCAGATTCCTGAGTAGCTGGGGTTACAGGCATGCGCTACCAGGCCTGGCTAATTTTTTAAAATGTTCTTAGTAGAGACAGGGTTTCACCATGTTGGTCAGGCTGGTCTTGAACTCCTGACCTCATGATCTGCACACCTCGGCCTCCTAAAGTGCTGGGATTACAGGCGTGAGCCCCTGCGCCTGGCTCCAGATTTTATGTTTGAGTTGAAATTCATATAACATAAAATTAACCGGCCAGGCATTGGTGACTCACGCCTGTAATCCCAGCACTTTGGGAGGCCAAGGCAGGTGGATTACGAGGTCAGGAGATTGAGACCATCCTGGCTAACACGGTGAAACCCTGTTTCTCCTAAAAATACAAAAAAAAATTAGCCGGGTCTGGTGGTGGGCGCCTATAGTCCCAGTTACTCAGGAGGTTGAGGCAGGAGAATGGCATGAACCCGGGAGGCGGAGGTTGCAATGAGCCTAGATCGTACCACTGCACTCCAGCCTGGGCGACAGAGCGAGACTCCATCTCAAAACAAAACAAAACAAAAATTAACCGTTTTGTGCCTACAACCATCACCTCTATGTAGTTCAAAAAAATTTTTTTTTTTTTTTTTTTGAGACAGAGTCTCACTCTGTTGCCCAGGCTGGACTGCAGTGGCACGATCTCTGCTCACTGCAATCTCCGCCTCCCGGGCTCAAGTGATTCTCCTGTCTGAGCCTCCCAAGTAGCTGGGACTACAGGCATACGCCACCACACCTGGCTAATTTTTGTATTTTTAGTAGAGATGGGGTTTCAGCATATAGGTCAGGCTGGTCTCGAACTCCTGACCTCAGGTGATCTGCCGTCCTTGGCCTCCCAAAGTGCTGGGATTTATAGGCATGATCTACCACGCCTGGCCGGTTTCAGAACTTTTTCATCGCCCCCAAAGGAGACCCTATATTCATTAAATATTTACTCTTTATTTCCTCCTCTCATTTCTGGCAACCACCGATTTGCTTTCTGTCTATGTGGATGTACCTATTCTGTATATTTCATATAAATGGAATCACACAATGTATGACCTTTTATTTCTGGCTTTTCTGACATAGCATAATATTGAGGCTTAACCACTGGTCTCATGTATCAGAACCTCATTCCTCTCTCTCTCTTTTTTTTGAGACAAAATCTCACTCTGTTGACCAGGCTGGAGTGTAGTGGTGTGATTACAGCTATCTGCAGCCTCAAACTCAAGTGAACCTCCCACCTCAGCCTCCCAAAGTGCTGGGATTACACGCGTAAAACACCATGCCTGACCGAGAACCACATTCCTCTTTATGGCTAAATACTACTCCGTTGTTTGGATATACTACTCTGCCCGCAATGCCTTCCAAGTCATTTAAAAAAATCTGTTTATCGGCCGAGCACAGTGGCTTACACCTGTAATCTCAGCACTTTGGGAGGCCGAGGCAGGTGGATCACCTGAGGTTAGGAGTTTGAGATCAGCCTGGCCAACATGGTAAAACCCTACCTCTATTAAAAATACAAAAATTAGCCAGGCATGGTGGCATGCGCCTGTAATCCCAGCTATTCAGGAAGCTGAGACAGGAGAATCACTTGAACCTGGGAGGCAGAGGTTGCAGTGAGCCAAGATGGCACCAACCTGGGAGACAGAGCAAGACTCTGCCTCAAAAAAAAAAAAAAAAATTTGTTTGTCTATTGATGGTTAGTTGTATCTTTTCCACCTTTGCCTATTGTGAATAAGGTTACTCTGAATATTCATGTATAGTATTTGTTTGAATACCTGTTTTGAGTTCTTTTGTGTCTATACCTAAAAGTGGAATTGCTGGGTCATATAGTAATTCTTTTTTTTTTTTCCCTCAAAAGCTGGTGTCATAGTGTACATATAGTAATTCTATATTTAACTTTTTGACAAACCACCATACAGTTTTCCATAACGGCTGTACCATTTTAAATTCCTACCAGCAACGTATGAGGATTCTGATTTCTCCACATCCTTGTCAATATTTGTTGTTGTTGTTGTTTTTAATTTTAGCCATCCTGGTAGATGTGAAGTGGTATCTCATGCTTTTTATTTGTATTTTCTTAATGCTATAGTCTTGCATTTTTTTTTTTTTTTTTTTTTTTTTTTTTTTTTGACGGATTCCTTGAGCTGGAGTGGGGATCGTCATGAAGCTGCCTCCGTTCCGCATTCTTGCTAGCCTGAGTCTGGCTACAGCCCCACCCCCTATTTTTTTATTTTTGTAATTTATGTTTATCTTGCTTGTGAGGAAATGCTTCATTAAGTCCTTTGCCCATTTTCAAATTAGATTGTCTTTTTGTTGAGTTATGACTATTGAATTTTAATTGCTGTAAAACACTCCATGAGTACATGTAGCATGCACTCAATAACTATTAGCTAATACTATAGTTGTAATTATTTTTGCCGCATGTGGCTTGAATTGGAAGGAAATTTTGCCTAGTTTTTCCAAGTAGGAGTGGAGAGGCAACAAAACCTATGTTTATGGTCAATAAAGATTTGACTCTGTCAGTGTTGATACTTTGCTTTTAATTGATGCTCTCAAATCAATAAATTAGAAACATGTATACATAAAATCAGTTTATCTTTGGCAGAAATCAGTATATTATCAATGTTTAATTAATTCCTAAGAATTAATGGCAATAGTGACTCTAGTTTTAGCTGAGATTTAGATCATCTTTCTTCATTCTGCCCTGTTATGAGACATTTGCTATAATTGCCACAATGAGAATTTTTTGAAAACTGGGTCACAGAAGCCTACTTTTTACAATTAATAGTATGCGATTTATGTATTATCATTGTTTTATGCTTATTGCATCTTGGTTTTATGGGGTGTTCAAAAGAAGATAGATGAGAATAGGCGATCCAAAGTAATTATTTAGAATTTTATCCTCCAGTCAGGATTGAACCATCTTGAACTGATGAATATATTCTTCCAGGTTTATAGGTAGACATGCCATTTCATTATATCATGATTTGGAGTCAGACAGTAGCTTTTAAGCAGAACAAACAGCCATATGTAAGTCTAAATTTGGTTATTTTCTTTGAATAAGCAGTGGAAACTGTATGCATTCAGAAACTGGTGATTATTCAGATATCTTCTGAAGGTCCTCTCTCCCTGTGCTCCGCAGCTTTGTCCTGAACTCTCCTGTCTCTCGCGGTGCCTCTGTGCCTTTACCTATTCTGTGAACTCTGCCTGCAGTGCCTTCCAAGTCAGTTGGTGACTCCTCAAACATCACTGAAGTCTTTCGGGTGGATGTAAATGCTGCTTTTAGCCATTAAAATGTGTTACATACTTTCACAATAGTTCTTGTCCTAGTGTAGTTTTAAAAATGCACTTAAAAATTTTTAAAGCAGTGCATGCATGCAGTAAACAAAATTGGACAGTACAGAAATAAATGGTGAAGACAGTCTCCCAGTTTTCTTCCCCATGGATAGCACTTTCCCTTTTGTATCCTTCGAAAAATATTTTGTGCTGATACAAGAATTTTTATACTGTATGAAGTGCTTATTCATCTTATCTTTCACTTCAGGGTAATTTATGAATAATGAAAAAATTCAAGCAATATAGAAATGTAGAGTGTGTGAAGCAAAAGTTCCCCTTTACCTTGATCCCTAACACTAGCCCTTTCCAAATAACACTGTCCTAATTAACATTACTCTCTCCAGAAGTAACCTCTGTTATAAGCCTTGTGTGTGCCTTCAGATTGTTCTGCTTACACTTATGCCTATTTAAAAGTGTATGTTTTCGTATTTTTTTTGTTTGTTTGAGACAGTTTCGCTCTTGTTGCCCAGCTGGAGTGCAATGGCGCGATCTCAGCTCACCGCAACCTCCACTTCCCAGGTTCAAGCAATTCTCCTGCCTCACCCTCCCAAGTAGCTGGGATTACAGGCATGTGCCACCATGCTCAGCTAATTTTGTATTTTTAGTAGAGTCAGGGTTTCTCCATGTTGGTCAGGCTGGTCTGGAACTCCCGACCTCAGGTGATTTGCCTGCCTCAGCCTCTCAAAGTGCTAGGATTACAGGTGTGACCCACCACGCCAAGCCCATTCATTTCTTTAATAAAGTTTTACTGAGTGCCTACTATGAGCCAGGTACATAAGAGTAAGCATGAAAATTCTTGCCTGAATGCAGCTTATATTCTAGTGGAGAGGGCAGATATTAAGTGAAGGAGTGAACTGTTTAGTGTTTCACGGGGTAATAAATGGTATTTCCAAGAAAAAAAAAAAAAAAACCACCCCACCAAAGGAGGGGGAGACTGTGTGAGCATGTAAGTATATAAATGTGTGTGTTTGTGTGTGTGATAGAGACGGAGAGAGATACAGATTCAGATGTAGTGAGGGGAGGCCTTGTTGAGAAACTAATATTTGAGGAAAGATCTAAAAGTTGTCTTTGATTCCCTTTTCTTCCTCATACCTCACATCAAATATATCTCCAATTCCTGTTGATTTAATCTTCAAAATATATCTGCAACCCACCCATCAAGTAGGTGGATTGAATTGGCAGTGGGAGTTTGTGAAGATTTTCTTCTGATTGTTTTAATATTCTCAGTGAATTAGGAAATAAAGTGCTCAGCCCAGAGTGAGGATGAGGAGGGTGATGGAGGTTTGTGTAAAGAGGAAAAGGTGTGAAATTGTTTAGGAGAATGGGAGAATGGCTGCAGCAGGGAAATATTGTATGATTGCCAGGGAACATTGAGAGCCTCTTGAGGTTCGCAGTTACAATTTTGTTTTTGTTTTTTTTTTTTGAGACAGAGTCTTGCTCTGTCTCCCAGGCTGGAGTGCAGTGGTGCGATCTCACTGCAACCTCTGCCTCCCAGGTTCAAGTGATTCTTGTGCCTCAGCCTCCCAAGTAACTGGAATTGCAGGTGCATGCCATCATGCCTGGCTAATTTTTGTATTTTTTTTTTTTTTTTAGTAGAGTTGGGGTTTCACCATGTTGGCCAGGCTGGTCTCAAACTCCTGACCGCAAGTGATCCGCCTGCCTCGGTCCCCCAAAGTGCTGGGATTACAGGTGTGAGCCACCATGCCCAGCCTGTGGTTATTTATTTATTCCGCTCTGTCTCCCAGACTGGAGTGCAGTGGCGCAATCTTGGCTCACTGCAACCTCCACCTACTTGGTTCAAGCCATTCTCCTGCCTCAGCCTCCCAGTAGCTTGGATTACAGGCACGCACCATCATGCCCAACTAATTTTTGTATTTTTAGTAGAGATGGGGTTTCACTGGGCCAGGCTGGTCTCAAACTCCTGACCTCAGGTGTTCTGCCTGCCTTGGCCTCCCAAAGTGCTGGGATTATAGGTGTGAGCTACCATGCCTGGCCTTTGTGGTTATAAATTTAAAGTGAAATCAGTCAGTATGGTTTATTTCCTCCAGCTGTATTCAGCTGCAGGGGTGTAAATTTGGAGTGGATTTAACCAGGGAGGGGTTTTGCCAATATAGCCGAACAAAGCAGGAGAAGGGCAAGGGATAGAGGGTACCTGTGTATGCAAGGTAGTGGTATAACATACTGTGGAATTCAAACCAGTTAAGGAGGGGAGGACATGAAGTGGCTAAGAGATGGTGAAAAGATGGGAGAAGCAGTGGATGGAAGGTCCTGGTGGGATCAGAAGCTGCTGGAGTTTGGGTATGTGAGAGACTGAACCATGAAGATAGTGGGTCATTGTTGGACAGTGGGAGATAATTGATATTGTGAAAGCATGATCATGGGCTGAGGGGGTGAAGGACAAGATCAGTGGAGGTGAGAAATGTAAAGAACTGAGACAAGGAATTCAGAGAGATAGGGTATGGAAAGATTATCTTTGTGAAATCACTGAGAGTTAAGATAGTAGTATAGAAAGTCACAGTAAGCCAGGTAATGCGTAATAGGATTTTCATAGGATATTCAATGTAATGTTTTGTGTTTTTTTAGGGAATAAGGAGGGAGACAGATTTGGAAACATCTGTGAGGAGCAAGGAGGACATTTACCTCACCCCCAGGTCCAGTGGTATGAGAGGTATGGGGAAGGTAACTTATACCACTTTAGGGCCTCAGAGGCCAGTGTGGCCCCAGAGGAAAACCAGCTTTTAATTAGAGCAAGAAGTTGAAGGGAATATTCAGAGAAGTTGCTGAAAATGTAGGGAACAGTAGAAGCGTTTCAAAATTTGGAGAGGTGGGTGACACATGGAGACAGAGCTAGAGATATGCAGAACAGTGTGGGGATTAGAATGTGGGAGATGAGGCTGGGCGTGGTGGCTCATGCCTGTAATCCCAGCACTTTGGGAGGCTGAGGTGGGTGGATCGCCTGAGGTCAGGAGTTTGGGACCAGCCTGATCAACTTGGTGAAAACCCATCTCTACTAAAAATACAAAAATTGGCCAGGCGCGGTGATGTGCTCCTGTAATCCCAGCTACTCAGGAGGCTGAAGCAGGAGAATCGCTTCAACCTGGGAGGTTGAGGTTGCAGTGAGCTGAGACTGCGCCACTGCACACTCTAGCCTGGGCAACAGAACTAGACTGTGTCTCAAAATAATAATAATAATAATAATAATAATGTGGGAGATGAGAGATGTGGGAGTCTGGGGCTTCTTTGATGGACAGCATAAGCAGAGATAAAGAACCTGAAGAGATTAGGCCTGGTGGAGAGCAGGCAGGCACTGGAGGTGAGGGTGGGAGTGTTGGGAGGGAGCAGGGGAGTTCTTACCTAGATCCCCTGCTGACACACCTGTTCATGATGGAGAGGAGTATCTCACTCCAGGTGTAAGCGGTTCTCTTTTGATAAATCCTGTGGGCTCTCTCTTTATGATCACATATTAATGCCTTTTGCTTTTAAGTATTTATTTTTTTTTGAGGTAGGGTCTTGCTATGTTATAACCCAGCCTGGCTTCAAACTTATGGGCTCAAGCAATCATCCTGCCTCAGCCTACTGGGTAGCTGGAACTACAGTCGTGCACCACTGTGCCTGGCTTTTTCACTTTAAGTCTTTTTGTCTGTGTTACTAATATTAATGAATGAATACCAATAAGATTTTTTGTTTTTTTGTGTTTTTTTTTGAGATGGAGTCTTGCTCATTGCCCAGGCTGGAGTGCAGTGGCGCGATCTCGGCTCACTGCAAGCTCCGCCTCCTGGGTTCATGCCATTCTCCTGTCTCAGCCTCCCGAGTAGCTGGGACTACAGGCGCCCGCCACCGCGCCCAGCTAATTTTTTGTATTTTTAGCAGAGACGGGGTTTCACGGTGTTAGCCAAGATGGTCTCCATCTCCTGACCTTGTGATCCGCCCGCCTCGGCCTCCCAAACTGTTGGGATTACAGGCGTGAGCCACCGCGCCCGGCCAGATTTTTTGATTAATGTTTGTGTAGCACATTTTTTTAAAACCATCTTTTAAATTGTCAGCCCTCTGACTTGGTAAGCTGTACATAGTTGTATTTCAAAAATCTGATTGTCTTGATGAATATAATCTTTTCATATTTAATGTGATTACTGATAGTTTAGACTTATTTCTGCTGTTTTCATTTATACATGTTTTTTGAACCACACTTTTTTTTTTTTTTTTAATATATATTTTTTCCCCTGACAGGGTCTCTCTCTGTTGCCCTGGCTGGAGTGCAGTGGTGCAATCATGGCTTACTGCAGCCTCAAACTCCTGGGCTCAATCTGTCCTCCTGCCTCAGCCTTCTGAGCAATTGGGACTACAGGCATGTGCCACCATGCTGGACTAATTTTTGTATTCTTTGTAGATACGGGGTTTTGCCATGTTACTCAGGCTGGTCTTGAACTTCTGGCCTCAAGTGATCCACCTGCCTCAGCCTCCCAAAGTGCCAGGATTACAGGCATGAGCCACTGTGCCTAGCCTTGAACCACACTTTTTTTTTTCTTTTTCCTTTTTTTTTTTTTTAGAGACTCTTTTTTTTTTAGGCCACACTCTCTTGCCCAGGCTGGAGTGCAGTGGTATAATCCTAGCTCACTTCAGCCTCAACCTCCCAGGCTCAAGTGATCCTCCCTCTTCAGCTGTACCACTAGGCCCAACTAATTTAAATTTTTTTTTGTAGAGATGGAGTCTCACTATGTTGGCCAGGCTGGTCTTGAACTCCTGGTCTCAAGCAGTCTTCTCACATTGGCCTCCGAAAGTGTTGGGCTTACAGGTGTGAGCCACGGTGACCACACTTCTTATTTGCATTCTGTTGTATATATGGAGTTCTTTTTTCTTCTGATTTTTAAGTTGAACATTCTATTTCTCTGTTTAGTAGTTAACTGTTAAATTTTTAACATGCATGCTTACTGAAGTCCAAGATTAATATCTTTGCCTTCCTGAATAATTCAGGAACCTCAGAATACTTTTAAGTTGGAAGGGCCCTGCTTCGCCGTCTTGCGCAAAGCTGCTAGTGGTCGGCTCTGCCCACCATAACGGGAGGAAGGAATTCTCGCAAGGCTGGAGTCCTCCAGGCACGCCAGTCGGAGGCGGTTGGCAGAGGTGTCTCCCCAATCCGGTGATGGGGCTGAACGCTACTGGCTTCATGGCCACCCCTCCGCTGCCTCCATCTGGTTCAGCGTCTGTTTGCTGAGGAGGCGGACTAGGGGCGCGGAGTCTGTTCCCTTGGGTGCATAGGTCCGGGTTGATAGAGGCTTTGAGTCCTCATCACCACAGCTGACGGCTCCGAGGGACTAAGCAGGATATATCTTTAGAAATGAGTTGCACAATTGATAAGGCACTTGCTGATGCTAAAACTCTTGTTGAAAGATTAAGAGATCACAGTGATGCAGCAGAGTCTCTGATTGAGCAAACCACAGCTCTCAACAAGCGAGTAGAAGCCATGAAGCAGTATCAGGAAGAAATTCAAGAACTTAATGAAGTCAGAAGACATCTGCCATGGTCCACATTAGTTATGGGAATCCAGCAATAAAGCAGACATATCAGAGAATTGCAACAAGAAACAAAAGAATTGCGTACATCCCTGGAAGAACATCAGGCAGCCTTGGAACTTATAATGAGCAAGTATAGACAACAATTTTTTTTTTTTTTGAGGCGGAGTCTCGCTCTGTTGCTCAGGCTGGAGTGCAGAGGCGCAGTCTCGGCTCACTGCAAGCTCTGCCTCTTGGGTTCACCGAGTAGCTGGGACTACAGGCCCCTGCCACCACGCCCAGCTAATTTTTGTATTTTTTTAGTAGAGACGGGGTTTCACCTTGTTAGCCAGGATGGTCTCGATCTCCTGACCTCGTGAGCCACTGCGCCTGGCCGATAACAAATGTTTAGATTGCTACTGGCTAGCAAAAAAGATGATCCAGGAATAATAATGAAGTTAACAAGAGCAGCACTTCAAGGAACTACAAGCACATGTTGACCAGATAACTGAAGTGGCAGCAGTAATGAAGAAAGCCATTGAAATTGACCAGCAACAGGGTTGCAAGGAACAAGAACTAATATTTCAACTTGAACAAGAAAACAAAGGCTTGAGAGAGATCCTTCAAATAACTCGAGAATCATTTTTGAGCCTAAGGAAAGATGATGTGTCGGAAAGTACTTTGTCAGCATTAGTGACCAACAGTGACTTGAGTCTGAGGAAGAGCTGAAGAGCTTCTGAGTCTGTGAGCTTCTTACATGGCTCCAAATGGTCAAATAAGTGAATGCATGAATGAATGAACAGAAAATTCAATCCTTTATTTTTTTCTCTTTAAATATGTACAGTGCACTGGCTATGAGATAGCAACAAAGATGCATAGTTAATGGTCATAGACTTTATTCCAAAACATAATTGGAAAATAGAAACTGAGCCATTGCCAATTGGTAAAGAAATGAAAGGTTTTCACAGTGACTACTGAATACACCAAGACTACTGAATACACCAACTTTTGGCCATGCTGCTGGCTTTCTGGGTGATTAATTAGGTAAACTTGAATATTCCCAATAAATGTTTGAGATTCATAAAATTATACCAATTTAAAAATACAAAGTTTTGCCACTGTTTTGTGAACGGAAGATTTGCATGCTATCTTTCATCCTTATTTGGTGTCAAAGTTAATACGAAGTTTATGTACCATGAGACTTCAGCTTTAGTGATTGCCTACTTTTACATTTAAATTTTTGTGAAAGAAAACTCAGTTTTAAAGCCTATAAGAATGTGTTATATGTACCATAAACAAAAGTGATAATTTAATTTTAGCAATTTACCATAACTGATACATAGCTAACAATTCTCCATAACTTAGTTTAAGTATAAGAAATTCCATTTCAGGAATGAAAAAGAATACTACTTTTTTTTTTTTTTTTTTCTGAGGCAGAGTCTCGCTCCGTCGCCCAGGCTGGAGTGCAGTGGCCAGATCTCAGCTCACTGCAAGCTCCGCCTCCCGAGTTTATGCCATTCTCCTGCCTCAGCCTCCCGAGTAGCTGGGACTATAGGCGCCCGCCACCTCACCCGGCTAGTTTTTTGTGTTTTTTTGGTAGAGACAGGGTTTCACCATGTTAGTCAGGATGTTCTCGATCTCCTGACCTCGTGATCCGCCCATCTCAGCCTCCCAAAGTGCTGGGATTACAGGCTTGAGCCACCGCGCCCGGCCAGGAATACTACTTTCTAAGAAAACTTATAGTAGACATATTTAGTAGGTTGAACTACTTTGAAAGAGTAAGTTTTGGTTTGAAGTCAATAATGAAGATGAGATTTGTTTTTCTCCTCTCTGGCTGATTTTTAAGGATATTATATAGTTCATTTAATTAACAGTTGAAATGTTTGATATGGCAAAATAGGTATGGTAATTTCAAAGTGAATTGGGAATTCCTCTGGCTCATAGAACCCTTTTAAATTAAACTTAAAAAACAAAAGAATTCTGGATCTGTTTTTAAGCTCCATCTGGTCCTCATAACCTGTAAGATTTTTCTTAAAACCTTTCAGCTGAAAGTGGGGATAGAGGTGGGGTAATCTGTGGATTTAGAAGTATTTGTTTTCTGTTGTCTTTTAAAATGTCAAATATGCTGGGCGCGGTGGCTCACTCCTGTAATCCCAGCACTTTGGGAGGCTGAGGTGGG